CAAGGGGTACAACATTCCAGTAGACTCATAAACTATTAAACACAACACCACACACCCACACTCACACCAACACCACACACACACACACAGTCCCTGTCTACATGCCTCTTCTCTATGAATGTGTGTATTCATACACACGGGTTCTTGCGAATGTAAATCTGTTTGGCAGTGTTGAGGGTTTTTACAGTTCAGGGATTTTATGAAATGTAAATTTTATCTTCTGAACTGCTTTAATTAATATTGGTTTGACCGTATCCCTATTGTGTAGTATCATAAATGACTACAGACCCGTGACCTGTCAATAAGACAGGCCTAATTATTAGTTTACAATAAATGCCATCTGGCATTTGGTGGGTGGGTAATGTGTACGTAGTGTTATTTAGAGTGCATGAAAAAAACTGGAAAAGGATCAAATGAAATGTTGGGGTATACATGTTTGAATTTACATTGATAATGGCAGGTTGTTGAATGGACAAGCAGTTTCACATGTTGTCAGAATATTCTATATTTGTGAAGTATATTTGTATTTTCTGAAATGTTCATTAAACCATACTGAAAATGTTTCCAACAAAAGGTGAATGTGTCTAATGTGTGTCACACGTCTAATGATTTAAGTTTTAGTTAAATCACAAAACAACTTGTTTTCCCCTAATATCCAAGGCTAGATGCCACTAAAAGTAACTGGCAAAATATGATTTTGTTTAATTTTGGTGAAGTGACCCTAAAGGAGACAATGTAAGGCTGCAGTGGATGTTGTGGTCCAGCAGGGGAAGCTGTTGGCACACAGTGGAAGCCGTGAATCTTGGACCAGCCTTTAAGGTTTTATCAGTCTGGTTGTTTTGTGGGTTTGATGAAAGTGGTGATGACCTGTGGTTAATATGCGTTAATGAGCTACTCGGTCACACCAAGGCACAAATGATCTATTCTGTATTTTCTGTATTTTTATGTGTATTATGTGTGCCACTATTACCCTCTTACAGGATACTTTAAAATCTTAAACTATTAAATTCCTGGGAAGTGCAGCCCAATAAGTGATGACAGTAAACATATGAGTATTATTTGTGACAGTAAGTCACCGAGCGAGGTTGCACAGGAACATCTCAGTACACCGCCTGTCTTGATTACCATGAATCCATTTAAAAATATATTAAAACACATGTTTTAGAAATTCTGCTGAAGGGACACAGTTTACGGGTCTCCACACTTTTCCTTGTAACTGACACTCAATCAGTGTTTGTGATGAATGTCCTTCAACTGACTCACTGCTGAGTAATTATTACCCAGAACTCCTCTTGTGTAGTGTTTCCTTTAAAAGTAGGGCTGGCTAATATCGACACTGAAATCAATCATCACAATACTCCTCCGTTGTGAATAACATCTGAGGACATATTTTAAAGAAATGTGTTGAAAATGTGGAGGGAGAGGCTAATAATCCGGTGTTTGAGCATCCCCCCCACCCCCACCCCGTCACCCATACACACCATCACCACCACCGCGCTGACGTCACTGCCAGGAGCGGTCCACAGCAGCGGTGGTGCTGAAGCTGAACAAGATGGCTGTGTGCTGGGGAGCGGAGAGCTGAGAGAGAGAAAGGGGGGAGGCGAACAGAGTCTCAAATCTAGACAGACACGCCATCAGAAAAAAAGAGAAAAGAGCAGAGAGGACAGGGCGCTGGCGTTCACTCTCCAAGTGTGAAGCTTTTTATTGCTGTGAAGCGTAACGAGCCGCTGCCAGGCCCCGTCTCTGCCGGCGACGGCAGGCTGCTCCATCTCCAGCCCCGACCATTCACTCCCAGGCTCTACCTTGCACAGATTAGCTCAATTACGGAAGCTGGTGAAGAAGCTGGACCCTGTACTAAAGGCGCATATAAGAAATGTCATTACTGTGTGTTGGAGGTAAGAGGAAATCCATGTCTTGGCGCGACTTGCTGTCCATGTTTCTCGACCTGCTCTAGTGTCTAAATCTGATCTTTACAGCTTTGTGGGGATTTACCTGTAAGAATAACGATCAATACTTTACAATAGCCATCTTGTACAGGAATGTTTAAATGGCAGTTTTCATACATGTGCCATTAATAAGGCGAATACCTCACATCACCTTTGGGGATGTTTTATATTTCTAATGTATTGTCTTTATGACTGTTGATTCTTTACCCTGAAATATTTCACTCCTGCTGTCTTGGATGACAGGCTGGGCTCTACAACCGGATCGATTCATGGAGTAGGTGTATGCTGTCTGGCAGCCACTGTCAAACATAGTAAAACAAGATGTAATCCACTCTGTTTGTGCCTGTGTATCAGGAGAATGTGGTGTTTTATGTCCATGCCAAAAAGCAGATATCATTTGGCATAGCAGTCCTCTCCAGTGCAGATATTTCAGCTCAGTTTTCATGCGTAATTGCGCGGAGCAAAAAAAAAATAGGCGTGTTCAGTAGCCTAAAGTAAGAGGTTTTTCTGAGCCTTGTGATTGGTTGCAGCATTCTTAGATTTCTATTTCTCCTATTGATAGAGCTTTATAATGACAACCACAACTTGTTCTGTCCAACATTCCCCAGTGGTGTCCAAATTAGTTTCTATTGAATAATCAGGCCGACTAAGCCTATGATAGATTTCTCCAGTGAAACAAATAGAAAGTGGACCCAAAGAAGATCTCATCTGTATTAAATATAAGGACATAATCCGTTACAAGCCCTTAAATGGCATTTAGTCACAGTAATAAATGAAAATTTGCAGGAAGAGTATATATTGCCATTTTTAAAATGTAAATGTATGCTGCTTTAATTGGGGAAGTTGAGTTTTCCTAAACATTTTTGTATCAGAAGCTCCAACTATGAGCAAAACATTGTGTTTATTCTAATCAACTAAATCTGAGGCCTTTGCTTTCAGATATGATTGGCACTGGCTGGGTGGATGGTGTAGATTTCCTAGGAGTGAAATATCATTATCATGGTTATGTCCTGTAACCTTCTAAACAACCTCTGGTCATCCTGAGATCCCACTTTGGCAAACAAAGATTTAAGCTATTTAACACATACAAACCCTGTCATTCCTTCCTGTGTTCAAGGATTAAAAATGCTCCCATTTTAGAGTAATTATTAAATGTTTGTTACACTGTCAGCACTCTCAGCAAGGAGAAGTTGTCCTTGTGATTTACAGACTCTTAAAATGAAATTTGTGTTGTAAAAGCATTCATTCCACACCTTTAAAAACTGACAGGCTTATGAGGAGACAGTAATTCGATGCAGGGAAAAAATGGTTTATTACTCTTTGAAAGGTTAGAACAGATCTGAAGCTTAAATGCTCAATAAATTAGTATGAATTTCACAACTTGTGACAGTTAATAACAACTCCTTAATAACTCCCAATATGAGGAGCACATTTTCACCGTGCACTCTCAGCCAGTTTGTGCTCATTTCCTACTCTGAGACACCTGATAAATATGGTGCCTGATTAATCGGTGAGCAGGGAAGGAAAGATGTAAAAGCGATTCCCTCAAGCTTCTTCTTCAGATTCACAGAGAGGTTGGAGCAGGCCTGTAGTGTTCATGAAGAGGCTGCTATACTGTTGACACCAGTGCTAGAGCTGATTGCACAGATGTCAGGATTGAGATTCAGGCTTGTTGGTGGTCCCTTTATGTCCCGAAGCTTTGTTGGCATAGCAACCCCAATGGTATTTTAGGTCTCTGTTGGCATTCTCATTAGGTTACTACACAATCTGTTATAGGCCTGCAGGTACGTTTATATTGATATCATATTTTTTTCATGGTGGGTGTGAGAAGAATGAATAAATGAAGATGATGGCGGTTTACCTTGAGCTGCGTGGCAACATGAGTTTGCCTGATAAACATTGCAGTAGCGGTGATGTGCCTGGTCAGAGATGTTTGTATACTCTAATTCCATGTCTTGTGATGTTAGATGTAGCCTTGGAAATAGCCTGTGCCACGGAAGCTGAATAAGCATATATTGAGATCTGGCACCCATCCTCTTACTGTCATCCCCTGTAGCGAGATGCCAATTCACGCATTACGACTTTATAACAGTGAGCCATGAGACACATCCTCATTAGTGTCACCTTTTATCAAGGCACCATGCAAACATCTATTTAAGACTATTTACATATGTATTCAGATCATTAGGGAAGAATTTTTTTAAAAGAAGTCAGGAAGTCCAACATTAGAAAATGAATTTAATTCAGCACCAAACCGTTTCGTCTCTAGTTCTGTGTCTTATTACCATTTCAAACACACTGCTGCATTACTGTAATAATGAGTAGGGTTACTGGGAGTCTGGAAATAGTTAGTAGCAAAGATCAATTGTGTTTTAATGGAAATATACTGTATACAGCACAGTGGATGTGGTGTAGCATTCATATTCTGTGCTTAATAATTCCAAGGCTGCATACACTGTTATATATATAGCCTTGGAATCCTTACAATATATTCTGTAAGTCTGCACAGTCTTTACATTTTGCACCTACATTTACAGATTCTAATGTTTCTCACATTGGTCTGTGTGAATGCAGTATTCAGTCAGTGGCTACCATTGTGTCATACTCTGATCACCATTATGGATGTATTCCCAAAGGTATACTGCAGATGTGTGACTGAATTTTATTTGGCAGTGAGTGAGTATACAGCTCCATGCTGTAATTACATCTCAATCTTTGCAACTGTTTTTCACTTAATTGTGCAGTTCAGTAATTTCTCTCTGTTTTTGTCACAATCTTTAGATTTTTCTTCACCGCATTCCCTGCCTTCAGGTTTATATTGTTGTTCCTGGTGTCAGTATAATTGCTCTGAAGTGTGGGCTCTTTGAAAGCTTTTGATTGGAAAACCTCAGGAAATGAAAAGCCCCATTTAGCTCCTCTATACCAGGGCATAAGTGAATGTATTTGTCCAATTTTCTCAAGCAAAGAGAGAGAAAACGAGATTCTGTAATTGCTGTGGCTCAACATTATCTGTTGAGGGTTTGCAGAAAATATATAACACTTCTCCTACTCCCCTTCACTCCTTACCCTGCACTGTAACTGCAGAAATGGTGGTTCAGTCTTATGCCTGTGAGCTGTAAGTACCCCACACACACACACACA